TGATTACGAATATGATAACCATTTTCATAAATGCCCATTACTTTTATCATTTTATCGATTTTCTTGCAAATTTTGAACTACAGGCTGGGAGTTGGCAGAGGGGGGTAGTCGAGTATGCTGATTACGAATACAATATCAGTTTTTTAAATTATCAATTGCTTTTGTCATTTTATCGATTTTTGCAAAGTTCGAACTACGGCGCTGAGAGTTGGCAAAGGGGGGTAAGCGAACATGCTGATTACGAATATGATAACCATTTTCAAAAATGCCCATGACTTTTATCATTTTAACGATTTTTTGCAAATTTTGAACTACGGGGCTGGAAGTCGGCACATGGGAAAAAGCGAGCATGCCATTACGATTGTAATAAGTGTTCTCTATTATTTCTGTCGATTTTTCTATTCTTTGTAGAATTATAGCTACACGGCTGGTATTTGGCACGAAGTTGTATGTGAGCACGCTCAATGCAAAGCTAGTAACCGTTTTTAGAATACCCATTACTTTTATTAATTTCATCTTTGGTGGGTACCAAGTGATTAGGGGGAGACGAGGTTGTGGAATATAGATTTATTCGCACGGGCGTAGATTAGTCGTGAAGAAGAGTGAGGTGTCCCGGTGTGGACCGGGGAGCAACCCATGATACATTCAGTGGCTCCTTATATACGAAGGAAGGCGGAGCTGAACCGAGTACAGGGTACGATGTACAAGAATTTGTGCTTGAAAGGAGATGCCGCCGATTGGCTACACTCCTGGCGCACGGATACCACTCACTCTTGAGTGATTAGATACTCAAGAGTGAGTAGCTCACCATTTAGCCTACGGAGATTCCGTAGGCTACATAGAATATAGAGTTCATCAATGGTTGATGATAGAGAAATCATCAACACTCCGGGCGAGCGAGAGGAAAGTGAGATCTGGTGAGATCTTGATAAGTGTAGATACATGTGAGGTTGACTAGTTAGTTAGTGAACACCTACGCATACAGAAAACTGATCTATGAATAAGAGCTGCAAATAGTAAAACAAAGGCATTCACACCAAAGTAGGATAGTTTACAATACGTTAGCATTAAGAAAAGCATCTTATGTGGTCATTGGCGTTGATTTGCAGCTTGGCGTTGCTCGTTCATTGTCCCTCCTCGTCGATTAGATTGATAGTTGAAGCATCATTGACGACCATCCTCTGGGTGGGCGGCCATTTGATAAGCTGCGAACATTTACAGTGTCTTCTTCGTAATGTTCTCGTCATCCTTATTTCGGCTTGTATCCCAACGTAAGGCGATACGGTAGTAACATTCGACTTCATCGCAGAAACAGAGTGCCTATCGGCTGTTACAGAACGGATTGTGTTCAACAACGTTGTCTATCTGCTCGAGCTTCATCAAAGATGGAAGCTCTTAGCGTGTGCCTCGTGAATCTGGATTGCCTTCCTTTGGATGAAGGAAACTGCTGCAGTTTTGTTGGTGGAAATTTTCTCCCTTGGAGTGTTCCTTTGATATTTGTCAGTAATCCCTCGATGTTTGTTCGTGTGCTCTTAATGCGGGAATTAGAGCACGTCTTCGATTTTGCCACCTTCTTGTCGTGTTGTTGGAATATTGACTGACTGTTCCTGGATGTTCCATGCTGCGTTGATATGCAGCCGAAGGTTCCGACGATTCTTTTGCTAGTAGTGATGCGGCTTGTTCCAGATATGACATACCCGAAGATGGTTGGGGTCAAAATGAGGCCCGAAGGAAGCTTATGCACTCTATCGTTGTGGAGAGTAACAAGGTTTAGAAGGTCTTGTCCTATGATCAGATCAGGTGAGATGCTTTTCGAGGAGGGTGTATCTTGAGCAACTATCAGCTTCTTATTAGAGATGAAGCGCAAGTCTGCTTCCGTGAGACTTGCCGTCTGCATGTCGGTAGTTAGCTTCTGCTTAGTGTACAATGACAAATTTTTAAGCTTCTCGGAGCTGTAAAGACTCTTCAAGGTGATTTGCACTTCAGACGAATTGAATTGCTCTTGTTGTTCGCCCATTCCTGATGTAGTGAACAAAGTAGTTCGAACGACTGGAAGCTTGAGTTTTTCACAGAGTCCTGATCTGATGAAGCTTCGTTGTGCCCCAGAGTCCAGGAGTATGGTCGTTGGTTGGTAATCCCATTCTGCTTCGTTGAAAATCAAGGCGGAAGCGATTTGAAGAATGCATTGATTCTGTGCAAGTGGAAGCACTTCGGGATTGTAGACTTGTTGTCGTGAGCCTTGTACGACGTGCGTATTACACTTCTCACGACGATCCTGATTGATGTCAAGTGCAGGATCTCGGGATTGCGTCGAGAATCCTCTGCGTTTTCCTGCTTTTGACAAGCAAAGAGATCCATGGTGTGATCCTTTGCATTTGGGGCACACACCGAAATTCGTGCAAGCGTTTGAGTTGTGATCGCTTGCAAAACATCTCCAGCACACTCCTTGATTTGTTGCTTCAAGTCGTCGGGGTTCTGGTGTAGTGTACCTCTGACAGGTGTGAGGAGAATGTGGTTGTCCACATAAACACAAACGTTTTGATTTCGAAAAGTGTTTTTCTCTATTGCATCTGGTAGTCCTTTCATTTTCTTGGTTGTTTGGGTGGTAGTTGGTTGGAAAGAGAGTTTCCGTTGTTGGCAAGATTGTCTCTCGCAGTGAAATGATGCTGTCGATGGTTTTCAGGATTTCGCTAACATTAAATGGATCATCTTGTACCGCTTCTTTCTGAATGGCGGTCGTACAGATGGATTCGGGAAATTTGGAAAAGATTATTCGACGCCAAAGTCTGTCTGCGTTCATCTTTGCTCCCGTTTGCTCCAGGTAAATGATCCTTGAGTTGATTGCTTCGAAAGTGTTTCGGCAACTTCTCGGATTATCTGAGGCCCTGGGTAGTTTTTCGATCTCGTTTATAAGTATATCTGCCATGTTGGCAGAGCGATCGAAATGTTTCTTCAAGATATCTATCGCTGTCTGATATCTTTCTCCGATGACGGGTATGCAGCTCAAAGTGGCTGCTGCTTTCCCCTTCAGTGCTTGCTTCAGAAAGAGGAACTTGTCAGTGTCGGATAAGTCTTCGTCGGCGTGGATGAGAGATTCAAACACTGTCCAGAAGCTGTTGAACTCTCTGAAGTTCCCTGAGAAGGTAGGGATTTCGAGCAGAGGCTTCCGGATTTTTATTTGCCTTTCGTTGCGCTCTGGGAGGCTGCCGTTCCAGGTCTGGCCTTCGTCGCTGGCTGCATGACTTGATGTGCTTGGCAGACTGGTATGCAATAATGCAGCTTGATCCTTCAATTCGTTTTGACGGAACTGAACTTTGTTCTGCCACTGCACGACCTTGACTTCCAAATGAAGAGATTCTAACTCCAAGTGTTTGCTGAGTTCTGTCATAAGCTTGTCTCTCTCTTTTTCTTCATTTCGTGCTCCAATGTATTCTATCGCGGCGTTCACTTGTGTGTCTTGAAGTTTAACCGCATTTTGCAGAGAGTTGAGTAGATGCGTTATCTCTCCCATTTTGGTTTTGATGTACGTCTCGCATTCAGTCCTTTCCACCGGAAAAGTGAATGGTGTGTTTATTTCGTTCACTTCCGACTCGTATGACTTCACGAGTGCGCAGGCATTGTTGATTTTTGACTTGAAAATCTGGAGCGCTGCCATTTTCTGTTTTGCTGCACGGGGTAGGGTCGTGCACTGGTGTAGTGATTCCAAGCGTTCCAATTCGGACGTGTGTATCCTCCTTTTGTTGGTCGCTTTGGCTTGAGGGCGACAGCAGGGCTGGCCTCGATACGATAGCTGTCCTTACTGGTTGCAAGGAAGCTTTCTAGTGAGCTGGCGATGGAGTGCCGAACGTCTACTAGCTGTCAGTGAGCGCGCCTGGTTGGCTTGTGCGCTGTACTGGACGGTAAGGTGTTGGAACCTGTCCCGTGAATGTAACGATCCAAAGCTCAAGATCGGTGAACCAATCGTGAATGAGCTTGGAAAGTTGAGATTTCTTTGCTAACTGTGGATGGACCAGTCAGTCAGCTAGAAAATCTCCTTGCTAAGCTATGGATGTGACCTGATAGCTTCGCAAGATGAAACTCGTTGTGAAAGTGGGTGGACCAGCAATCACAGAGTGTTTTGGCTAATGGAAGCCAAAAAAAGTTCGAGAATTTCTGTTGCTAACTGTGGATGGACCAGTCAGTCAGCTAGAAACCTCTCTGCTAAGCTATGGATATGACCTGATAGCTTCGCAAGATGAAACTCGTTGTAAAAGTGGGTGGACCAGCAATCACAGAGTGTTTTGGCTGATGGAAGCCAAAAAGTTCGAGAATTTCTGTCGCTAACTGTGGATGAACCAGTCAGTCAGCTAGAAAATCTCCTTGCTAAGCTATGGATATGACCTGATAGCTTCGCAAGATGAAACTCGTTGTGAAAGTGGATAGACCAGCAATCACAGAGTGTTTTGGCTAATGGAAGCCAAAAAAAGTTCGAGAATTTCTGTCTCTAACTGTGGATGAACCAGCCAGTCAGCTAGAAAATCTCCTTGCTAAGCTATGGATATGACCTGATAGCTTCGCAAGATGAAACTCGTTGTGAAAGTGGATAGACCAGCAATCACAGAGTGTTTTGGCTAATGGAAGCCAAAAAAAGTTCGAGAATTTCTGTCTCTAACTGTGGATGAACCAGCCAGTCAGCTAGAAAATCTCCTTGCTAAGCTATGGATATGACCTGATAGCTTCGCAAGATGAAACTCGTTGTGAAAGTGGATGGACCAGCAATCACAGAGTGTTTTGGCTAATGGAAGCCAAAAAAAGTTCGAGGATTTCTGTTGCTAACTGTGGATGAACCAGTCAGTCAGCTAGAAAAACCTCTTTGCTAGGCTATAGGTGTGCTATGGATCACCGAACATGCGTTTACTTTGATTTTTCTATTATTCAAATCGAACAACGAACGGAACGGTCAGAAACAGACAGAACACGTCCTTGAATATGATAGACGGCATGAAGTAAAGCATCTGATCTACAATAACTGATAACGTAGCAAGTCATGTCCACAAACATAATGAGTACGTTCCTAGAAAAAAGAACAACTCAGAGCCTAATATATCATGGCAGTGTAGTACGTTGAAAAGATGATGACGCAAACGTTCGATATAAAGTGAAGAAACTGAAAGTAGAGAAGATTTTAACATGTCGAAGTTCCAGGCAACAACATTTTCGTTATGATCAACAATCCCTGGGTCGCATCTTTCACAGTGCTTGCGAAGTGCTGCGGCGTTTGGCCCTATGTATTTGCAATCCTTTTCAATGCACGGAAAGTAAACTAGATCCGGCTTCAAATCGCCTCCGTTCATTTCATGCCTAAAGGATTGAGCTGAGAAAGCTAGGAAATCTTTGTAACAGAGACACCAACACTTCGGTGCGTCCAGCAGCATTTGTTGTAACCATCAAAGACTCGTCAATATGCTGGATTCACTCGCTGATGGGAAACTAGAAAGAAAAAGCGCTGAACGACCTTCTGAGATAGATAAACACAAAGTTTTGAAGATGAAGGGAATACAAATCCAAACTGGGCGCTGTTCCATATCAGGGCCCCAATATCCAAGGGGTATATTTCGCCCAAACTCAGTCCATGGAGGCTATGGCCTACTGACCACGAATATCGACTTTTGGACAACATCATCACTTTCGGTGGTTACGATGGGGACGCTGGGGGCTCAACTACATTTGCTAATTCTTGTTTGGGAGGGTTGTTCGACATTATCATGGATACCCACGTTTTCTGCTCAACCACGTCATCCTTGGTGGTGAGGGTAGCTTTATCGTAAGCAATAAAGTCAGAAACTTGGACAAAACAACAACGACAAAGTTTTGAACAAAAATTCCGGAATATCGAAGTTTGATTACAACCGAGTTTCAGCAGTGATAAGCAGAAAATCGGTCTCGAGTACATTCAACTTGCTTTTTTTTCAACAACGTTGTTTTGCAAAACGGATAAAACAATCTAGCATGTAAGAATGGTGGTTAGGTGATGTAAAATCGAAAGTGAGTCGAGAACACGAACTCCTGATTGAGCCTCCCATCGTACACCCGTCGTAAACACCCAGAGACGTTTTCAAAGCATAATGTTTCGACCAGCATGGTCAACGCTCCCGATAAACTGAGCAAGGGCGCCGAGAACTGGCCATGTCTTACCACTTCCTCGACAAAAAGACAAATGAACATACCAGTAGTTTCTGATGCTCTCGTCCAGCTTGTTTTTTTCCACGTTTAGTCGATCCGACAGAGGAACACCGCTTCCACCAGACATTTTTCCACAAGAATTGCACTCTGGAAAGTGAACAATATGAAACAATTACAGAATGACAAATAACGAGCAAAACCGAGACAGTACAGAACATCTAAAAGAGGAAAGGTCCACGATTCAAGCAAGAAAAGAACACATGTTACGAAAATGGAGCACAGCGCTAAGTTCTGAGATGAAAACGCGCTCCAATGACAACGGCCATTTCTCAGTATTTAAGTTCTTCTCGCAAAATGACTCTCGTTGTGAAAGTGGATGGACCAGCAATCACAGAGTCTTTTTTGGCTAATGGAAGCCAAAAAAAAATTCGAGGAGTTCTGTTACTAACTGTGGATGAACAAGTCAATCAGTTAGAAACCTCTGCTAAGCTATGGATAGGACCTGATAGCTTAGCAAGACTCGTATTAGTAAAAGTGGATGAACCAACAATTACTAGAGTCGAATATTGGCTAATTAGTAGCCGAGAGTGCGAGGAGTCTGTCGCTAACTGTGGATGAACCAGTCAGTCAGCTAGAAACCTCTACTAAGCTGTGGATAGGACCTGACAGCTTAGTAAGACTCTTAGTCGCGAAAGTGGGTGAACCAGCAATCACGAGAGTCGAATAGTTGGCAATAGAGCCTGCCACGAGGGACTTAGGCCTTGATTTCCTGGGTCCTTAGAAGGAATCGCCGAGGAAATACAAGGAAAATCACTGGCCGATGCACCAATTCGGTGGGTACCAAGTGATTAGGGGTAGACGAGGTTGTGGAATATAGATTTATTCGCAAGGGCGTAGATTAGTTGTGAAGAAGAGTGAGGTGTCCCGGTGTGGACCGGGGAGCAACCCATAATACATTCAGTGGCTCCTTATATGCGAAGGAAGGCGGAGCTGAACCGAGTACAGGGTACAATGTACAAGAATTTGTGCTTGAAAGAGATGCCGCCGATTGGCTACACTCCTGGCGCACGGATACCACTCACTCTTGAGTGATTAGATACTCAAGAGTGAGTAGCTCACCATTTAGCCTACGGAGATTCCGTAGGCTACATAGAATATAGAGTTCATCAATGGTTGATGATAGAGAAATCATCAACATCATCTTTTTCAAAGCTGAAGCTACGAGGCTGAGATGGCACTGGTCCGGGGGTAAGTGAGCATGCTGAGAATTCTATAATCACACTCGGAATTGACGAAGACGGTAAAATTACCTAAAGTTGTTATAGATTCACTTTGGCCCGCCTTTACATTTTAGAAATCCTACTTCTGCCCTTAAAATCAGAAAAGCACAAAGAGCCTGGTCTCGAGAGAGAAAAAGGCTTATAGAGGCGGCAAGATATTTCCGCTATGAATTTCTACGGTCAATATCTGATTATACAGAAAATTACTGAAATTTACTTCTGTCCCTTTCACTCTGCAAAAACCATACTTCTGCATCTGAAAGCAGAAAAGTGGTCTCTGGGGATGGACAGACCAATGAGCTTCACGCGATAGGACATTTTCACTGAAACTTTTGGCCCCTAAACTTCCCAAGAACCATAAACTCAAAAACCACACCTCTGCTCCTAAAAGGGAGTATGGCCTCGAAGGAAGAAAGATCCATGGCTCCAGGCAGCAAGGTATTTTCGCCAGAAGTTTCTGGGTGTCAATGATTATACAGAACTTGCTTGAAATTTACTTCTGGCGTTTCTACTTTGCAAAAACCATACTTTTGCCTCTAAAAGACAAAAAGCACAAAGTGCTTTCGAGGGAAAGACAGACCCATGAGCTTCATCCGACAGGAAATTTTCGCCAAGGCGTTTGACTCCCTAGACTTCGCAAAAACCAGCACTTCTGCCCCTAAAAGCAGAAAAGCACAGGGAACTTAGTTTTTAGGGAAGGACAGCTCATGAGCTTCATCCGATGGGACATTTTCACTGAAACTTTTGGCCCCTAAACTTCCCAAGAACCACAAACTCAAAAACACCTCTGGTCCTAAAAGCAAAAAAGAGAGAGAGCTTGGCCTCGAGGGAAGAACATGGCTCCAGGCAGCAAGATATTTTCGCCACAAGTTTCTGGGTGTCAATGATTATACACTTGCTTGAAATTTACTTCTGGCCCTTTTGGAATCGGGAGAAAAAACTCATAAGCTCAGCCAGCAAGATACTTTCGCTGAAAGTTTCTGGGTGCCGATGTTTATTTCTACACAAACTCGTTTGAAATTCACTTGTGGCCATCTCTACTCTGCAAAAACCGGACTTCTGCCTCTGAAGGCAGAAAAGTGGTCTCGAGGGAAAAGCAGACCCATGAGCTTCAACCGACAGGACATTTTCGCTAAGATGTTTGACCCCTAGACTTCGCAAAAACCAGTACTTTTGCCCCTTAAAGCAGAAAAACACAAGGAATTTAGTCTTAGGGGAAGAAGGAACCATGACTTCAGGCAGCAAGATATTTTCGCCAGAAGTTCCTGGATGTCAATGATTATACAGTCTGCCCCAATCCTAAGCAGGCCAAAATTTGCATGGCGGGAGTTCGCGTCGCTAGGGTTTCGCGGTCACGCCCACGGCCTGCTTCTCTGCTTTCTCTTCAATCCTTTTGCTCTCTTCGACAGCGTGCATATGCAACGCAGACCGCTAGCGCTGCGAGCGCGCAAATTTACACCGAATGTTCGGCCTGATCCCTATCGGAGCAGACTGTATAAAAACTTGCTTACTTCTGGCCCTTTTGATCTCGGGAGAAAAGACTTAAGCTCAGCCAGCAAGATACTTTCGCTGAAAATTTCTGGGTGTCAATGTTTATTCATACAGAAACTTGCTTCAAAATTTACTTCTGGCCCTTCTACTTTGCAAAAACCAAACTTCTGCCTCTAAAATAAAAAAAGCACAAAGTGATCTCGAGGGAAGGACAGATCCATGAGTTTCATCCGACAGGACATTTTCGTCAAGATGTTCGACCCCTAGACTTCGCAGAAACCACAGCACTCAAAAACTGCAGTTCTGGCCTAAAAGCAGAAAAGAGGAATTTAGTCTCGAGGGAAGAAAGAATTATGGCCTCAGGCAGCAAGATATTTTCGCCAGAAGTTTTTGGGTGTCAATGTTTATTCATACAGAAACTTGCTTCAAAATTTAATTCTGGCCCTTCCACTTTGCAAAAACCAAACTTCTGCCTCTAAAAGTAAAAAAGCACAAAGTGCTCTCGAGGGAAAGACAGACTCATGAGCTTCATCTGACAGGACATTTTCGCTAAGATGTTTGACCCCTAGACTTCGCAAAAACCAGTACTTTTGCCCTTAAAAGCAGAAAAGCACAAGGAATTTAGTCTCGGGGGAAGAAAGAACCATGACTTCAGGCAGCAAGATATTTTCGCCAGAAGTTTCTGGATGTCAATGATTATACAGAAACTTGCTTAAAATTTACTTCTGGCCATTTTGCTTTGCAAAACCACACTTCTCCCTCTGAAAGCAAAACAGCACAGATAGCTTGCTTTCGAGGAAAAGGCAAAACCATGAGCTGTATGCGACAAACATTTTCGCTAAGGCGTTTGACACCCTAGATTTCGCAAAAACCAGTACTTCCGCCCCTAAAAGCAGAAAAACACAGGGAATTTAGTCTTTAGAGAAGGACAGACCCATGAGCTTCTTGCGACAGGACATTTTCACAGAAGCTTTCGGCCCCCTCTACTTCGTAAAAACCAGTACCTCTGCCCTGAAAGCAGAATAGCACAGGATGCTTGGTCTCGAGGGAAGAAAGAATTATGGCTTCAGGCAGCAAGATATTTTCGCAGAAGTTTCTGGGTGTCGATGATTATACAAAAACTTGCTTGAAATTTACTTCTGGCCCTTCTACTTTGCAAAAACCATACTTCTGCCTCTAAAAGCGAAACAGCACAGGAAATTTATTTTCTAGGGAAGGACAGCCCATGAGTTTCATCCGACAGGACATTTTCGCTAAGTAAGTTGACCCTAGACTATACTTGGGTAATTCGATAATTTTTCATCGAATGAATGAATATCGAATAAATTCGAAAATAAAAAATCTCGAATAAACGAATATCGAAAAAATTCGGAAAATCAAAAATATTGAATGAATGAATTTCGAATAAATTCGGAAAATCAAAAATATCGAATGAATGAATATCGAATATGTTCGAACATTGGAAGTCGAATTTTGAATAAATATTCGAATGATTTATCGAATAACTAAAGCAATCACATCTCAAACTTGCCGACATATCTGGCTAAAGCCGATCCAATTATAATCAGCCCCCCCCCCCCTCCTATACCAACTCCTAGCTCAAGATTTTTCAAAAATCGGTGAAATCGATGGTAAATTTTATTTTTAATCAGCGCCCTCATTTACCCCTCTACCAACTCCCAGCCCCGCAGCCCAAACTTCTCCAAAAATCGATAAAATCGATGAAGTAAATTTTTATCCATAATCCGTGAAGGTGCACCAGCCAGCTTTGAGCGGTCGCGCGCGTCGTGTAAGCGGCTGCACTTCGTGATCCTTGCGCGTTATGCACCGCACAGGTAAGAACCGCATTTATACACCTTGATCCTGGGACTTTGTTCGACAGCAGACCTTATTTGTCAGGCTTCCACTGGATTTTAATGACGTTTAGCAGAGTAAAGATAAAATTGGCTGGAGCTAAAATCTAAAAATGAGAAACATTGCAACTTGGTGTAAGCACCTAACGAGCTGTTCGGATTCATAGCGCTAGGTGTGCGATCTTTTGAAGCAATAAGGTGGCCACTTAAATTCCACAAATGCTACGATACATTGCCTGTTCATCGGAGACTTTCGTCTTGTGTAGTATACGCTAGTCGTAGACGAAGGCACGTGTTTCCTCCGCGAAGCGAGCACGAATGCCCCTATAACCCCGGGCATACTGCAGGCGTTTCAGCGGCGACGTGGTATGGCAATACTCAAATTGTCCAAAACCTATTTTGAAAGTACAGAATGCAGGGCATCTATCATTTTAGTATGTTGTACACGCTAAGCATTTGTGGTAAACTGCCATTACATCCGAAGACATCTCGTAACTGGCAAATCGCGTACGGCGATCTGAAC